TGTCTGAGGAACAGCTGAAGAATCCATACATTGAGATTTTACAGAAGTAAGTATTGGCTTTTGTGGTAGATTCGAGCACGCAGATCATCGATGTCAAGCTCTCTGAGCCTACCGTCCATGCGGGCGATCTCCAACTCATTTACGATAGCTAACAATATATTTTTCTTCAGGCGCGTGCGCAATCTTCAAAAGAGAAAAGTATCTTTCTTTCTTTCTGAACTCGGTAGACGATGTCCACCTTGCAAAAGTTATCTAACAATCTACACCAATCTAGCAAAAACTTGACAAGTACGAAGAACAAGCGGCGACCGAGAATGCAGTAAAGCTCAATGCTGATCAACTTCTCGCCTTGAAGCAAAAAGATCAAGTGATCTTCCCGCTCAAAGAACTCGACGAGCTAACGCGCTCGTTCAAGACACTTGACGACGAAGCCAAAAAAAGCAAACTTGCCGACGCAAAGACGCGTAAAGTCGAGATAGCTGCGGCAGTCGCGGAAACCAAGGCTTCAGCCAAGGCAGAAGAGCGCGCGCGGGTACGTGTGCTTGTAAAATTTTTGCATGCCGCGAGCTGGAAGCGGCAATTCCCTGGAAAAACTACCACCGCGGCCGAGACATCTGCGTTTGAGAATCTATTGGGGCTAGTTTATATAGGCGATGACGTTTCGGTCGATGCAGTTGAAAAGCTCGTGGATGGCGTTGACGAGCTTGTTTCGGCAGGTGAAGAAGTTGCTACTGAAGAGAACTCAATTACTTTTGCAAAAGTCAAGCAATTGACTCTCGAGCAAGTTGACGAGGTCGTGGATGAAGAGCCTGCAGTCACTGCGGAACCCATCGGAGCATCTGCTGTCTCTACTGAGCATTCCAATCCGGCTATCGTCGAAACCTCTATTCCGGACGATGACGACGATAGCGAGCAACCCGCTATTAAACTAATCAAAGTGCCCGCCCGCCACGACGAAATATTTCTCAACGAGTCCGAACTCGAATTCGAGGAACAGACATCTTCCTCCACTATCGACCGAGTGTCCATTCCTCCCGCCCAAGCAGCCGCAAACGCATGGGCGACACTGGAAGATCAAAGCTATGCGCCACCACCGCAAACGCAAATCGACGACAGACACTCAAACCCAGCAGGCATCGCAAGATGGGATGATAGTACCGTCGCGCAAGACGAGCAACCTATAGACTGGGCATCCTCTCCGCCTGTCATCGCTGCTCCCACTGAAGAAGCCTGGAAGCAAGTCTCCTCACATCCTCGATCGAAGCAACAACAGCAGCCATTGACCAATGCATCTAATGCTCAGCGTAGTGGACGCCCTAAAGAAGGTTTTGCTGGTGGTCGTTCGCGGGGCGGAGCAAGAGGTAGTTTCCAGCGCGGTGGAGGTCGAGGTGGTCCGCGTAATCAAAATCAACAACGCCATCAGCAGCAACAGCAACAGCAGCAGCAGCAGCAGGTTTCTGCCCAGTAATATATTAGAAGAAGTTGTAGGGGTGTGTGTGATATATTTGCCATTTTTTGCTAGCATTTCTGAAAAATCAGGTTGGATGCCTACTAGCAGCCTCCTTTTGTACATTCGTTGCTTCGTATAACAATGTAATATATACTGTCAGTTGATTAGCATGTTGTTTGAAAAGAATAGTGACAGTTTTTATAATTATATCCAGTAGCTTTATTATGTATAAAAGACTTTCTGTTGGTTTCACTACCAAAACACTCACGCTACTAATAGCTTTGTTCAACAATACTAGAGACCAACTGTCACACAATCAGACTCACTCACTGTCAAACATAGAAAATAGACGCAACAAAAAAAAATGCACACGTACAAGCATAAAAAATTAATATTAATAAAAGCAAATGAATAAATATATAAAACCGTTGTGCCAGAGTCCAGAATTTCGTAGCTTAAATCGTTAACATTATAATCAAGCCATATCGCGAAGAAGCTTGACATCAATAATCGTGCGTAGCGTAATCTTGACATAAAGAATATCATATCGTTTTCGTAGAGCATCAAGATGAAGAAAAAAAAAATCAAAATTTGACCAATCAATTAATAAAAGTTCCCTTTGTCTTGGGAAGAGGTTTAGGCGACCAATGAATATGAGTGAGACACCAAATGCAATTATTCGTTTCAGATGCCAAATAGAACAAATGATACACCGGTCTAGAATACAAGATAACAGTAAACACAAAAAGTATTATTGCTTTTGTGTAACGGATATCAGGTTTTTTTTTGTGATAGGAGCCTCAACAATCATTGTAATCATCAAGAATTGCCATCACCTCGACCATGTACTAAAAAAGAACGAAAGAATAAAAAAAGCATAAACAAAAGAGAAATGCAGCTAAGTAACAAGAGCATTTTTACTCCAGTAGAATCTCATTTTGGATACCAACATTGCCAAATCCCGATTGCGGTTGCCCCAGTGGCTGTTGAGCCTGCTGTTGACGAACAGCTGATTCAGCTGCGGCCTGCTCAGAAGCAATCTGTTGTCTCGCAGTCAGTTGAATATCAGCCAACGAGATGCGAGCAAGCATAGCAGCCATATCTGGCATCGCCGGCACGTTTGAGGAGTTGCGGTGGTTATTGTACGCCGAAGAGATGCTGCTTGAGCTCGAGTTCTGATGTGCATACATGCCCCCAGAGCGATTGGATGATCGGATATCCGCAAAGGACTTAGTATTGCGTAGTGAGCGTACAGGTGACTTCGGTTTCGGAACGGCCGCAGCATGCTGAGGAGCATAGTCAAGTAACGCAGAGGCCGTGCTTGTCGGGTTCAAAGGCAGAGGAGCAAACACTCCTGACTGGCGCTGGCTAATTGGTGGTAGATTGTCAACGTCAGTATTCGATGTGCTCTGCTGCTGGTTAAGCATCTGCGTGATTACAGCCTTGTTTTGAAATTTAGGATTTCCTCGCTTATAAATCACCACACGCTCACCATCGGATGACGAGATGTGGCCGTGTTTAAAATAAAATGCAACTGAATGCACAGCACGACGAAGATTCTGCGGAAGATTCTCAAAGTTGAGTTCTTCAAGTGGATCATTGCGCTCGGTAAAGAACAAAACCTGATCATACATCCGGCGTACGGCTGCGTCATTCATGTTAACGTTAAGTTCTGCAGACCATTAGCATATTTGCCTTAAAATATCTAATGAATTGAAAATCATACTCTCTTTCATGCCACTCATGCTGTTCTGGGCAGGAGCGCTTACAATAGCGAACCCTTGCTGCTCACGTTGCTGTTGCTGCTGTTGCTGTTGACGATGTTGCTCCTCCAATTGCCCTCTTCTCATACGCTTCTGATGCTCCGCGCGGTCGCGCTCCTCTTTAGGCAGCATCTTTTTGTATTCAGCTCTCAGCTTGCGGCCGCAATACTCATAACCATTGAGGACAGCAATAGCTTTGGCAGTATCGGTAGTATTTCTGAAGTTTGCAAAAGCCAGGCCACGAAAGACACCATTGTCAAAGTGGTAGTTGAACGCGTAGGGAAGCTCAAGGCCAAGTTCTTTGAATAGAACATTCATGTCGTCAACTTGAGCCGAAAATGGAATGTTTTTGATGACGATCGCATTAGGGATGTAGTCATCTACCTCAGGATTCATAGATGAGGTATTAAACAAAGGCAAGGTGTCAGACCGCGTGGGAGAGATACTGCCAGGAGGCGGGTAAGCCGGCTGAGCAAGACGCGGTGCAGCCTGGAAATCGTTTGAAAGCAAAGGCGGGGAAGGCTCCATCCACTGTTGCTAGGATTAGTGATTCTTTCTGAAAAAAGACAAAAAGAAATGTTCAACTTACGTAGTTGGAAACAGGTGCCCGAAGATTCATGGGCATTGAATTCCAAACAGGCTGCTGTTGCTGTTGCTGAGAGGCGATGTGGACAGGATCGTAAACCGGTGCGCCCGTGTACATGCTAAGTCGATTAGCAGAGTCCAGGCGATATCTCTGAGACTCAAATCTGGACAGGTCAGCAAATGCATTGTTGGACATGGGATATGGATCATAATGAGTCGCGTCGTATTGGGGCTGCGGGTTGTGTTGCAAGGCAGCCGGGTAGTTAGCCGAATTGGCGATGACGGTACTATTTTGGAAAGTATCGAAATGACGCGATCTGGCCTTACGCAAAATCGGACGAGAAGCGTTCGATGACGGCGCAGTCGAAGCGGAAGAAGCAGAGGAAGCCGATGAAGGCGGGGTAGTCTGTAGGGGCTGTTGGTGCTGCTCGTCTGTGCGCCAGAGGGATGAAGCAGGATCAACAACCGCGTCGGAAGAGACGAGAGGGTAGACGCTGGCCATCCCTATCTGTGAGTAAAGCCCAAGAAGAAGAGAGATAGAGAGGAAGGAGGACCTGAGGAGGAGGAGAAGGGAGGATGAGGAGGGAAAAGGAATAAGAAGAGATGGAGGAGGTGGAATGGGTGCTGGCTGATGCGCGCCGCGGCGTGACAGGCGAAAAGTAAACAAGTGATACAGGCCCCTGTTAGCTTTGCAGAAATCGGCTCGCTACTGGTTATTAGCCATCTGATGCAGTACGCGGATATTACATCTGTATAATGCTACTCCTCTATTCTAGACTGAATTCTACGATCCAAACTTGCTGAGCAAGAGACCAGCTGGGAAGTTGTTTCGCAATGCACTCACACTCACGCAGTGAGCGGCGTCGCAGGAAGCATTCCAGTGACGATCGCTCTCGCTGTCAACGTTAGTCGTCATTCCATTCGAGACGAGCATTGCAACAGATATGATGATACTATTTACAGTGAAAGAAGCAGGACAGCTTTCAAATAGTAAGAGAATACTATAATTAAAAGGGGAAGTAGAGAAAAACTGGGATAAACCTTAGATCAGACGACTGACGTATATGTCTCTAATTCAGTGGCTCGCTTCGCTATCCTTTCCATCTCCTTTCTCGAAACTCAATATCTGACTCGACTGTTCTGGCAAAAGGAAGATGGCTAAGCAAAAAAATGAATCGCAAGTCACTCTTCTAGGAATATTACTTCCACGCCAGGGGACGAACCTGGAATCTCCCGCTAACTCGGTTTTATATTCCATCGTAGGCGGGCGGACGCCTTGCCATTGGGCCACAAGAAATGGGGTCTTGTTAATTCACGCCGTTGTCCATCGCTCGCGGCTAACCAGACTGCTCTTTCTGTATCACGTGAGTTGAATTTCCTTAATATTGAATGAAGCCTTATTGCTGTTGTTATATATCTTTGGTTAAGTTTTTAAATTTATTTTGGGTTGTTGCATATGCCATCAGAGGGTTCAGGCTCCAGCGGACTCCGTTCGTGCCCGTGACATCCCCGTTATGGTAGCGGTGTTGATAGCGAGTTTGTCTACGAATGTAGGTGTTACTGCTGTTGAACGCGTTCTCACTATGTGATTTGCGGAGACTTGGGCGCCCTCTGTTAGTCGGTGTCATGAGCCTCGACAGCCTGTACATCATGACTTAACGTAATGTTTTCGAACATGTCACTATTGGGTGGTGTATCGCTAGTCTAGCTTTTGTTCTAGGCTACAATTGGGATAGTGGGATTATTATCGAAATTGTGGTTGAAGACACTATGCAGATCATTATTGCTGCGACAGACGTTGGAATTTTCCTATGTTGTGGTGCACGTAAAATTGCATCTCGATGTATTTGTACTTCCGTCTTTTAAGTATATATCATCGTCGTCATCATTCTTCATATTTTCAGTGCTGTTTTTTGGAGGGTATCTGTGTCTTCTCTTATGGTCTCGATCGCATGTATCTTTTGAGTCTTCATGTTGCATCCATTCCCGAGTTATAGCCCTCTTTCAAGATAAAAGCAACCTTAAGATTCAGCTCATTACCTAGTGTATACCAAAGTACAGCAAACCATGGGTTATTTTTACAGATGCAATGCTCTCATGTGTACCTTTTGCTTCGCGACTTGTAGTGGTATCTTGCGACTTGTAGTGGATTGTGGACACAGGGTTGGGATGTGAGTTGGGAGATGTCTTAGTTTTTCTTGTAAATGAATGGGGTTCTTGTGAAAGGGGTTGAAGGCGTCGTTGCTATATTCCATTGTGCCTTTGCCGGAAGAGGAATTCTATGGGAATGAGACGACTCCTCGAAGCAAGAATGCAGCAGTATTAGTGAAGTTTTCAGCGATTGTTTGTTCCTGCTTTTGGTTCATAAAAGAGAGGCCCAGCTCCCGCAGAGAGGAAGAATACATAAAGGACTAAGTTGTTTCGGTATTTGAGTAATATGTTTTATATGTTTGATCTCATGCGAACTCAATTGTCAAGTTGCAGCACGTGGTTGGGATTTGTGAAATCAAGTGTAAACACTGGTATTCTTTTATTGTGGATATAGACCTAACCCGATAATATTGACTATATAGAGTGCCGCCCCCCTCGGCAGGCTTATGGTTTCCTCGGGCGGCGACAAGGATTTACTTTGTGAACGCTATATGGAAGCGTAAGGTAGGTCGCCGTACCCCGCTGTCGCTATTCTGAACCATGGACAGTGTATCAAGATATCTGTGCGAAATTTTGCAGAAAGCGTTGACGCGGTGATCTGCGTTAAGCTTTGAATTCCAGTGTAATGATCTCGATTGAATTTTTCAAGTCTCGCAGGGTATTACTGGGATGTTGTTTGCCAGCAAGTTTATAAAGAGCGCCGTTGCGACAGACTCTGTTCCAGAATAGTTGATCTCTGTTGAATTGACGAGTATTGGTTGCCGTTCTTGCTTATGGTTGGCTCTAAAGTGTTTGATCTCTTGCAGATGTAGGTGCTGATTGGATCGGTGCAGACTTGCAAAATTAATAGTTTATAGTACTGTCGTGTATTTTTCTTGGGAAAGACAAAGACAGGTGCATGAAGATAGACGTGATTTATCGATAAGAATTATGTCTGTCTTTGGAGGATATCCGGTTGATATCAAGATAAATAAAACTCGAAATCGCCCCTTTCTTTAAAAAATGGCTCGATTCAGTAGATTACAAAAGTAGCTTGAAATTGTTTGACTGTAACCGTTTCCACTTTATCTTCGCTCAAGGATCAAATTGACCATTCGTACCATGTATCTCACCGTTAGAAGCATACCAGAAAACAGAAGATTCGTTACTATGAATGGATTCATCAGTAATTTTATAAATTAATGAATTCAGAACTTGTTCGTTCTCTTTTTATCTTTCTTTGATACACCAAAAGTACAGAAATGTGAGTGAAGTAAGTGTGCAGCTTAGTTTTTGTGAATTTACTGAATTTGTCATATTGAATAACTGTCAAAAGTTGGCTCTGGTCTTCATGTATGAATTGGCAATCGACAGATTGATTGCCTTCTGGCTCAAATTGATTTTCTATGATAATTTAGTTTGATTTTGATTTTGGCGGCCCTTTTTTTCTATTTTTTTTTATTTTTTTTTCTCCATCAGAAGTTGACATCGATAGCACTGTCTGAAACATTGTTATAATTAATAGAGTGTATCTGAATAAAAAATCTCCGACGAAGCTTGATTTTGAAGTTTTTAAAGTAATAAAAGATCATAGAGATCCTAGCAATATACAACTCCATATTAGAAACTAAAGCGATTATGATAGTACGAATAGCAAACTCAGAAAGCAAGGTGACATATTTCTATACAGATGTGTGGACATTTTGTATTTTGATTCCGCCTTTTTTTTTTTCAGAGAAAGCAAGCACACAATCTTAAACATTTTGATATGGCGCAATAAGGCAGATGCAGATAATAATATGGTATATTGCAACTTGCGAATTAAGCCGTACGACATATAAAATATCCATCGGCTCTAGTCTACAGATTAAATAAGTTATCTGGTAGTTTCGCACATAAAGCAAGATACAAATATTGTCTTATACCGAAGCGCTCACTGAAATCAAAAAAGTAGACTGCATCAAAGACTAATCTGAGCAAAAGTAAAACACCGAAGAATGCAAGTATCAGGGACTACTTGCTGCAGAAACTCATCTGCTTAGACCATTAGTTATGTTCCTTAAATCACCACCAATCGAAAGCAGGACCAGCCGCATGACGTCAAATATTGGTGTTGTGCTCACGCTGTACGCTGTTGATATAGCGGGGAATCACCGGTATTATCCGGGCACATCGAGGTACCACGGAGCGAGAGAAAAAACTCACCACAGGAAAAGTGATATTCAAAATTCAAAATAATATAGACAACTGTCGAAAGAAGACAAAAAATCGCATTTAGTCTACAGAAAAATTTCACGGATCAAAAGACTTCTCAATATTGGGTGTAGGATAGAGGAGGTTCGAGAGTACATTTTCAGATGAGATTTGCGTATAAATGCTGCTTCATTTCGCCATCACACGTCACAGCGACAAGCGCGGGTTAGACAGTAGTCGGGGTAGCTATCTAGTCCGTATTTAAAACTAGATAAGATCTCAATTAAACAGACAGACGCAGCATCTGTACAGCGTATATACCTATCGTGTAATCACATATATTGTGCCGCAATTTGAATCAAGCTACAACCCAGGTGCTTACAGTAATCTTGAAATGCCGAGAGAAAGAAGATAAGGTCGTGGACCAGAAGAGCTCCGATGTGGTTTAGGTTGACCCTGTCTCACTCTGATAAGCTCTTTGCTTCAGAATTAGCGCCTCGCGCGCCACGTTCGCTCTCGGACCCCCGCCAGGCCAGTTATGATCTCTCGAATACAGGCCGGGATCTGCTTCATTGGCTTTGTTTTGATCTCTCATGACTGTATTGCTGCCCTCTTTCTGGATCTATTACTGTAAGGCTTCCATGGAGGTAGAGAAAGCTATGGCTTGTATTGGCCCCCACATGCTCCTGTGGCTGTACGAGCTGCAGCTGAGGTTTATCGGCAAGTTTTTGCGGATTTGCACCGCCAGCCCGCCGGCATCTGACACTCTTCAATTCAGCGAGATTCTTTCGCTAGCTTAGGTACCGCAGAAGATCAGCAATTGACTTTACTAGGTTGAAGCTTAATATTGACGACGAAGTGGACCTGTTTGCATCATTTCAATCTTGCGTACTGAGACGGCAGAGCCTAATATTTCTTGACTTCTTGATGTGTAATTCATATTCTTGAGAGGTTCAATTGGGATGGAACTTTTAGATTATCATTTAGTCGCTGTTTTTATCGGCGTCTATTTTTTGACAGAGATAAGGTCTTGACTTAGTTTTTAGATACCTAAAAGTAATTATCTGCCTGTCCAGTCGTGCCGTTTCGACAGGGCACCTACGACTCATTGCTGCACTATGCAACTAGCGTATCTTTTTTATGGGTCCTTAGCTATCACAGATTGTACCATATTGCTAGATTTGATTGGAGGAATTGCAGCCCAAATGCATGAATCGATCTCGCTATCGCGGGAACGTTATATAGATACCGCACAATTCCCTCCGTTGTTGCTGCCATCTCACTCTCTCAATCATACGTTTTTATGTAACTAATCGAAGATGACTTCTTTTGACGAGAAAATGGCCTCGAAGGTCCCGGTGACCGTCTCCGAGATCACGTCTGAGAGCGACCTTGACTTCAGTGGAGATGCATACCATGAGAAGCTCGCCGCCTCGGTGCGTGCAAGATCTTTGGATTTCGACATTCAATCGCTGGATCCACGACATCGTGACCAAGTTGTTTCGCGTCTCAAGATGATGAATGGTACTGGTGACACCGGTGATGAAGATCCATTTGCGGATCGTGCGTCGCATTACTTGTACGAGAAGCTGCTTGAGACATCTCTTGAGGACGCGCTTGAGATTCTTAGGCATGCCATTGAGTATCATTACGGAGATGTCAATTTTGATGATAAGACTTATGAACGAATCAAATTGCTCGTCGAAGGGCCGGAGGCCTATGGAGGCGATATTGAGTCGTACGAGCTCGACGCACGCCTTGAAGCAGTCGTTATCCATTATCATTCTCCTTACCCCGAGGTACGCGCTGTCACTGATCCATTCGACGATCCAACTATTCCTGTCGAGACTATTCGCGCCTATTTAATTGGAAGCTTTTGGGTTGCTGTCGGCAGTTTTATCAATGAGTTCTTCACTTTTCGTCAGCCGACGCTAAGTTTAAAATCCACCGTCATTCAATTATTGGTATTTCCAA